ATTGAACACGCTCTGAAAAACGGAGGAAGCGTCAAAGCAGTGAAGAGGAAACATGGGATAGACAAAAGTTGGATGTATGCACTAAGGGACAAAGAAGGCAAAATAACTACCAAAATGAATAGGATAGTCAAAATTGCGGAGGAGTTGTGCAGAGATCTCTACAGTAGCCGAGACAACCACGACCTTAATATTATAAGAACTAGCAGTAACCTAAAGGACCCCCACCAGTAATGATAGAAGAAGTCAGAAAAGCTTTGGAGAGCATGCAAAGAGGCAAAGCTGCTGGTGAGGATCAAGTAACATCAGATCTGCTGAAAGATGGAGGACAAATTGTGTTAGAAAAACTAGCCACCCTGTTTACGAGGTGTCTCCTGACGGGAAGGGTACCAGAGTCGTGAAAGAACGCTAACATCATCTTAATGCATAAGAAAGGAGATGCCAAGGACTTGAAGAATTACAGGCCGATCAACTTGCTCTCTGTTGAATGCAAGCTATTGACAAAAGGTAATTGCTAGGAGAGTAAAGAAAACATTAGAATTAAATCAACCAAAAAAACAAGCAGAATTTCGAACAGGCTACTCAACAATCGGCGACATTCATACTATCAATCAGGTAATAGAGAAATGCTCAGAGTATAACCAACCACTATACATAGCCTTCATAGATTACGAGAAGTTGTTTTATTCAGTAGAAATATCAGCCGTCATGCAGACACTGCGGAATCAGGGTGTAGATGAAGTATATATAAATATTCTAGAAGAAATTTACAGCGCATCAAGTGCTACCATAGTGCTTTATAAAGAAAGCAACAGAATACCAATCAAGAAGGGTGTAAGGCAGGGGGACACAATCTCCCCAATGCTATTTACCGCGTGCTTACAGAAGGGTTTCAGAAGCCTAGAATGGGAACAGTTAGGCATAAGAGTTTATGGAGAATACCTTAGTAACCTGCGCTTCGCCGATGACGTTGCGTTGCTGAGTAACTCAGGGGACGAATTGCAACTCATGATTACGGAGTTAGACAAGGAGAGCAGAAAGGTGGGTCTTAAAATTAATCTGCAGAAAACGAAAGTAATGTGCAACAACCTCGGAAAGGAGCAGCGCTTCGAGATAGGTAATAGTGCACTTGAAGTTGTAAAAAACTATGTCTACTTAGGGCAGGTAATAACCACTGAGCCTAACCACGAGATTGAAGTAACTAGAGGAATAAGAATGGGGTGTAGCAGATTTGGCAAGCACTCTCAAGTTATGACAGGTAGATTGCCACTATCCCTTAAAAGAAAGGCATACAACAGCTGTAACTTGCCGGTACTTAGCTACGGAGAAAAAAAACCTGGAGACTTACAAAGAGGGTTCAGCTTAAATTGAGGACGACGCAGCGAGCAATGGAAAGAAAAATGGTAGGTGTAACCTTAAGAGACAAGAAGAGAGCAGAGTGGATTAGGGGACAAACGGGGGTTAAGGATATCATAGTTCAAATAAAAAAGAGGAAATGGACATGGGCCGGGCATGTAGCGCGTAGACAGGATAACCGCTGGTAATTAAGGGTAACTAACTGGATTCCCAGAAAAAGGAAGCGGGTTAGGGGGAGGCAGAAGGTGAGGTGGGCAGATGAGATTAAGAAGTTTGCGGGTATAAATTGGCAGCAGCAAGCACAGGACCGGGTTAACTGGCGGAACATGGGAGAGGCCTTTGTCCTGCAGTGGACGTAGTCAGGCTGATGATGATGATGACTCTCACTGTTACTTCGATACCCTCGCGAGTGTATCGGTTGATCTGTGATCACATGACAGGTAGTTATCGTGCACTCTACACCCCATTTTCTTACCTTTCCGTCTTTTCCAAACGAGTCATCCCCCCTTCAATCTCGCGTGGCATGCAGGTGTACGTGCGGTCTCTGCGTACTTAGAAAAATGCTTGCCGCGGGGAGGTGGCACACGCAGGAAACACGACGAACAGCAAGGGCATGAATGCAATGTGCGTCAGAATGAGCTGTGCATCACAAGAAGGCTGGAAAGGCGCGGATGGTTATTTTAGAATTTGTGGCACACCGACGGCTCGTAGTGCCGTCACGTGTGGCATCGTTGATTGTGATGGCATTCTGCATGTGATGCGCTTGTTTATTTGAAGTGTTTGAAAAATACTTGTGGACATTTAGGGGCCCTTTGAGGAACTGCTCCATACAAGCACTAGGTGGGCTCCCTCTTTTGAATGGCAGCAGCGGTAGCCTAGGCTCACTAGGAAGTCGGGGCTCAGCAGTCAAGCAAGCCTGCGTCTCAATATTTTTGGGATGGATAGGGTGAAAGAGGTTAGGTTTGGAGCTTTTGGAACGACCATACCATGAGGAAATTGTCAGGAATGTTTCTCAAAGTGCAGGCACTTCCCCATGCAAATTGGGTCAATGGGTATACTATTCCTAGACACAAAACACTTTTCGTATTACAACAAGGGATGATTTGCGCCTTTGCTTTCCAGAGGGCCCTATTGGGTTTTGGTTATATGTGACAGCCATAGTTCATAAAATTGTATGACCTTGTTAAAGGTGTATCTCAGAAATAATAGAGATGAAGACAATGCCTGGAGAGCGAGCAGGCTGCCCCACTACGGTCGTCAATTTTCTAAGGTGACAGCTAACTGCTGTGGCTGCTGACTGTTAGGTCGTAGGATCGAATCCCGACTGCGACAGCTGCACTTTCGATGGGGGCTAAATGCTGTAGGCCTATGTGCTCAGATTTAGGTGCACGTTAAAGAACTCCAGGTGGTCGGAATTTCCGGAGCCCTCCACTACGACGTCTCTCATAATCATAAGGTGGTTTTGAGACACTGAACCAACACAGGCCCTTTTGTAAAGTTCATGCAAAAAATGTTCATATTGATTAAATATGGTGGACATTCTATTTCAGCCTATAAAACTTACTTTTTAAATGCTCTGCGACTACTTTCGTCAATGTTTTTCTTTGAGATTTAGCTGATGCAGGTCCTCCTCTACAATCGTCTTTTAGGAATAGTTCAATAAACATTGTTGTCATAATTATTTTGTCTGCATGAAACAACATACCACGTTTTTACCTCGTATACTACTACTACTACTCAAAGCAGCCGCAAAAGTCTGTGATATGTTTTAGTTAATGCATATTTCGATGCTACAGATAGTACTGGCACATTCATTTGAGTGGAGAAGGAGTGATAGGAATCAAGTTAAAAGAAGGCATAGGATATTACGTTTGTCTACGCCCTAACCGTGAATCTACCGGAATAAAAAAATATTAGTGAGATATTGTTTACTGTGGAGGCAGATTCAGGTAGAATGCAATGCCACTTGAGTTATATGACAATATAGAATGTCAACAGATTGGAAAAAATTGAAAATTTTGCCAAAGGCGAGTACAAGGTAGTGCCAATTCCCTTAAATTTTTCACGAAAATCATTTTCAAAAATCTTTGACAAAGTTTATGCGAAAACAACTATGTGTATATACAGTTATAGATGCTTAAGCTGTGATCACACCATCCCTTAATTGAGGCGAACCAGGGTACAAGCATACTTTTCAGGAATTTCCGGCATTTTATGCAAGAAGCTTGTTTTGGGTAGCATTCTATTGCAGCAGTTAGGCGGAATATGCACTCGCTGTTCAATAGACCTCTCTATGTTTGTAAACAGTGTGACGTCACTGCAGGCACGCCGCCCACCATACCCTCTCTCTGAGCAGGTGCTGGTTGGCAAGAAAGTTCCGTCGGCGGCATTTTTGTGCATAGCAGAGCTGCGTGTCTGCATTCCTTCGACAGAAATTTCTACATTGCTATGTTCTAAAGTCAAAGCTTCTTAAAGGAGGGGGTCGCGGAAGGGTCACTTCTTATAGTGCGGAAATTCGATCGTCGTAGATGTATGAATGGAAAAACTTTGAGAGTACTGAAAGACACGACTAATACGCAGTGGCCTTCACCCACGTCGATGGCAGCCACAAGAAAATCTGATCTTTATCGAAAGCGAACGTTTTGAATGTATACAGTGACTGGCACTTTGAGAAATATTTTCATCGCATGGATGTAAACTTATTCAATTTCCATTGTGGCATGTTCAATGCAGTTCTAAACGAGGTAAAGCACTGGCGCCAGCTTGGTTTTGAGCTGCAGTGCGCGATGTCACGGATAAGATTCTCACTCATTGCGCAAAAGTCTGATCAAAGATGAATTGAAAAAAAAAATTACTTCTTGCCGTGCTTTAGTCTGAGATTAACATATCCTCGTGAAAATTAAAGTGAAATTCCGCCCCTGCCTTTCTCAATAACCCAGTGAAATTAATGTGATATGAAGCCCGACAACGTAAACTTATATAATATTATCTGGCACAGTTACCTTGCTGCATTTGACACCTATACCGTGTTCTTGTACCTATATTGCTCCTTTAGACTTGATTCACAAACTTCTAATGCGCATTGTCACTTCATAAGGATCAAGTTGTAAAGGTACAAAGCAGATAAGAAATGAAAATCTTTGCTGTTGCCATTAACACGTGTCAGGTATACAAGTTATAGCTGCAGTGAAGCGTATATGCAGACTCGGCTACGCCAGAACATTGCTTATAGCTCATGCGTAGGCATGCATATCACCCAGAGATCATGCACTTTTATTTTTTTTTTCACGCCGCGCATACGATGAAATGTACCCACTAGCAGACGATCGCGTCAAAGGCATTAAAGAGTTTTAGCAGAGCGGGCCAGCGGCCAGCGAACCGGAGCGGACGAGCGCAGCGCCAGCGGAACGACGCGCGAAAAAAAGAGTTTTAGCTGAGCGATCGGCTGCTGCCCCCAGCGAAGCGTTGTACTGCGCCATCTGTACATTCAAATTTGAACTACCCAGATAGGAAAAAAAGTAAAGGTTTATTTTTAGATGCTAAAACCACAATACAAACACGAATTTTATGTTTCAGTACATCTGATTTTATTTTAACGGTGATTTGTATCTTTTAGCGAAGTCGTTAAACTGAGGAAAGTACGTCACCAAGCCAACTGAAGTCGAAGCTCCAAGCCAGCTGTTTGTTGCCGCGCTTTTTAACAGACAGTGTGTGGCTTGCCGCTGCAAATTGCCGCTGATAACTGCTTTGAACAATGCCCCAGAGCATACTGCAGGACCCCCTGCTCCTGACTCGGTTGAAATGGTCCGAAATAGTCGACGTCTTGTGCTTAGAAGTTCTGGGCGAGACACGGCGTGACCCACTCTCCATGCGAGGTCTTTTGGACATTGATGCGATCGACAGTGGCGTGTTCAGAATGTACTTTCGGTTGGAAAAGGACGATGTACCCAGGCTACAGAGAGCCTTGTGCATACCTGACAAGGTAACAACTCCGCAGAGGGTGTCAGTTCCCGGCGACGAGGCCCTTTGCATCACGCTAAGAAGACTAGCCTACCCAAACCGGCTGCGCGATCTGGAACACATTTTCGCCCGACACAGCTCGACCATATCGTCATTGACGAACGAAGTGCTCAGGCACATCGAGGACAACTTCTTCCACCTTTTGGACGACGTTAATAACCACACGTGGCTGAACCTGGACACCCTTGAAGAGTTCTCAAAGGCAAGCGAGAATAATTAGAGTTGTACATTCGCAATTACAACTTTCTGACATATTCGTTCGGTATTTTTTCAGGTCGTTCACGCGAAAGGTGCCCCGCTGACAAATTGCTGGGCCTTCATCGATGGCACGGCGCAGCCAATATGCCGACCAACAAGGAACCAGAAAGTGTACTTCAGCGGCCACAAGAGAGTCCACGCCCTGAAGTACCAAGCTATAATGTGCCCAAATGGCATAATCTGCCAGTTGGACGGATCATACCCCGGCAGCAAACACGATTCAGGCGAGTAAATGACAAGCACAGCTGGTGGATCAAACCGCTGCTGAACGTCACTCGCCTCCTCCTTCCCCGCTAGGAACGGGCGCAGCTCCAGCTAATCGTAATTTATTCTTTCAGGTAACTTTGGAAACAGTGCCGCGTATACGAAGCTACAAAACCTCGTTCAAGGTCACGACTGCTGCATCTACGGGGACCCTGCCTACCCGTTGCGGCCCCTTCTGCTCAAGCCCTATGGCGGAGCTCTCCTGACTCCTGAACAATTAGCTTTCAACAAAGCCATGAGTAGTGTGAGGCAGGCTGTGGAGTGGGGTTTTGGAAAAATTGTCGGACTGTTTGCCTTCGTGGACTTTAAAAAAAAAACCAGAAACTCTACCTTCAGAACCTTCCACGCATATACAAAGCGAGCGCACTCCTCGCAAACTGTCACACTTGCTTGTATGGTGCCCAGGTATCGCAGTACTTCGGCCTTGAACCACCACAGCTTGAAGTTTACCTTGCCCACAAATAGTGTTGTACAACCAACCACAGTTATCGAAACAAAGTTCGTTGGCGAGCCATGCTTTAAAATGATCTTGTGGCTGTCATTTGCTGTACTAAACGTACGCTACTTGTTATGACACTCTAGTGAATGAAATCTGCTGAGCGAAAAGCGCAAAAAACTGACATTCCTGTGTTTCTTCGTATGGAGAAATTGATTTCGTATTGTTACAAGCGTTTCCGCTATACTGTGTTAAATTCCACAACATTACTGGCAGTGTCATGTAATTTCCCATGCATGTAAGTCCCCTCTGTACAGTGCGAAATGTGTGTATAGTGTCGACGTATCCCTACACTTGGGCCTTGAACCACCAGTTCTCGAGGTTCGCTTTGCCCCACGGTAATGTTCCATGACAAGCAGCTTCGAAAACAAAGACTTTATTGAAGAATTGCATACCGTATGGTGTTGTCAGGTTTACACTTGACGCTGGATCCTTTCACACTTAAAAAAAAACATGACAGATGCAATGAAGCCGACAATTTATCAAAGAATTAAGATTCTATTACCTGAGGACTTCTAGGTACAACACGACAGTATCTCATTTTCAATGAAATTACCCGTATTGTTCCGGCAAGACATACACTTACATTTGAAAAGCAGTTTTCAAAATTGTTAACCAGCCGAACGTGTTTTCGCTGGAACTACCCGTTTTAGACCCCTCGTCGCAGGAAAAATGCTGGTGCGCAGTGATGTCTTGCCGTTACCTCCTAATAAATAAATAATCTACAACCTTAAGCGTCCTCGAGTCTGAACCATTGTATTTTAAATAAAGTTGTATTTGAGTTTACGTGTAGGAAATGTGATCCCACTGGAGATGTTTCTCTACTTACGTGTTGTGGTGGTGTTGTCTTATGTGTTGTGGTGCTGCGCCAATTTGGTGGTTTGGAGTTCTGCAGCTTCCAGTATCCCAGCAAAATGTCTACACGATCTTTTATACCTCTTAGGGTGAGCTCCTGGCCCACCGCCCGATTCACCGCAGCGAGAACATGCACCCACTTGATGTCATCGCCAAACGGCTTCGCCGCGGCCACCTCCCGAAGAAGACAGAGGTCCTCGTGAGCACTGAAGCACCTCCGGGGCTTTTTAGCTGGTTGCATTTTTGTTTCAGAAGCGTTCGATGCGACCACGGCCGGCGACGCGACACCGCGACCGTTGTAGGCAGCCATTTTGAATAACTATGCTCGCTCGCCCGGCCGCCGCTGCGCGCTGCGCTGGGATGACGAAACGAGCGGGCGAGCGCTCAGCGCCGTAAAGCCGCTCGCCGCCTCAGCGTACTGGCGCATGCGCAGTGGCGTTTCCGCTGGTCCGCTCCGTTCCGCTGGCCGCTGGCCCGCTCTGCTAAAACTCTCTATTTTTATCTAGACTGAAACGTCAGACCGTCAAGTTCTATCGACAACCGCTTAATGCAACCAGCCCACTACGAAGACCAGTGTTTTCACAAACAGGACGCATGGCGTTATTCGCACTGCACACACCCACGCACCATATTCACGGTTTCACCGTCCGTATAAAGGTGAACCAAAATTGTCGATGCCTTTCAACGCACACAGTCAACACAGTCAACACTGCGCATTTTCAAAGACGATGCCGCTGTTCCTCGCACAGGCCGCCACGTGTGTTCACTTCTGCGAGATAAAGAGCTAACCAACGCGGCAAATATTTCATCACGCACTGCGCCACATACTAGATGTTCTCTGACACATACCACAGCTAATGTTGCCACTGTGAGATGAAGATTAAGCTTTCAAAAAGAAAAAAATAACTTGCCCCAAGTACCGAGCGACTGCTCCCCACTCGGCCACCAGCGGGAGTGTTTTGCCAGCTAGCGCCCTGCACGTGCACAGGCGACGTCACGCTGTGACGTAGCGCAGTAGAGGTTTATTTCTATAAACAGATGGTGCCTGTAAAGAAGTTAGTGTTTTCGTTGCATCCAAGATTAATATTTTGATGGTAAAAACTCCTTTCGTTTGACAGTATTTACAGCAATGACTATCACGGCTCCCACGTGATGTGTTAATGCGAAAGCAATTATATAGACAGTCTCGGCTGGTTTTTGGCGTCCCCACTGCCATAATTCACGTATATATATATATATATATATATATATATATATATATATATATATATATATATATATATATATATATATATATATATATATATATATATATATATATATATACAGGAAAGGATGCGCATACCACAGCTAATGTGAACATCGCCTTTTTGACCGGAGTCGTTTGCGCACGTGATCATTTCGTGAGCGAACAGGGAGGAGGACGTGTGGTTACCGTGCTATCACGGCAACGATCTGCACCCGGCTCTTGCCCGCACAGCAGGCGAGAGCTTCTACAGGCTGCACTATTAACACAAAAAAACGGTGCCAAAAGAGTACCTGGAATGGCCGTTCACATATACATGCGCTCTACACATATTAAACTACCACCAGCAGCCACACACGATGTATAGCTTTTAGTACAAGCATGCGCTTTTAGTACAATGAAGAGAAGCGCCCACAGGAAGCGCTTCTCTTCATTGCCGTCACTACGCACGAGCCTTGTTGTGGTCATCTACTGTGACCACCCCGTAGTAAACTTGGTTACTTAACAAGCGCACGTTTACTGCAATTAATGTTGCTTCTAAATATGCTAGCCTTGCTTCGTAAAACATTCGAATATGTTGCTATCGCATTCACTGCCTCGCCCTTTTGGCTGTGCCTGTAACTTTTTATAAAGCACTGGCAGTAAAATTTTTGAAGAGTGTGCGGACAGTGTCCTACCGAGTACGCAAGCGAGACGCATCCATTAGGGGGTGACTTCATAACTTCTGGCCCCCTGTACTATGATAAGCTATGCAACACTTGATGCCCCTTCTCCTCCTAAGCTCATTCCTCACCCCGGTTTGCCTTTCCCACCCTTTACTATACTATACACTATGCGAAGCTATGCTATGCTTGGAGCTGCTTGGCACATATTAGCTTTTTTAGGTGCATACTTCTTGAGTTTTTGCGAACACCTCACGGGAGATCATTCCGCTAAAAGAGCTCTGCTCGACTGTAACGAAAATCGCAAAGCCTTCATGGAACACATAGCAGACTGTCACAGTGAAACCTGGAAAGGGGCAAGGTATCAACTAGCAAGGTACCAACTAGGCCAATTTTTGTTTTGTGTGCACAGACCCCTGGACACGCTAGGAGTGCTTCCTAGTTTCGCACCTAATTTTTTCTTTCTTGGTAGTGCTAGGACACCAAAGTATTGCACCCATTTTAGATTACAATTGCCTGGCAGGTAAATGCACACAAAAATACAGCAAAAGAATAAGCAAATACGATCAAGTAAAAAGGACTGAATGCTGATATACAGGCTCCTAGGAACCTTCTTACACTGATGGAGCTGATTTGGCCTTCATTTCTGTTGTTGGTGCGTAAAGACTAAATAAAATTGTTTCTGTCCTCTCTAGCACAGCCGAACAGACTTGTACCAGTGCACGCATGTGGCCCTGTTTATATTACAATGTGTTCACCTTTGCTGCTCGCAGATGTTGCAACAGCTGATGTTGCAAGGAGAATGCCAATATCGTCCTTATACCTTTTTATTTATTTATTTATTTATTCATTTATTTAGTACATACTGCAGACCACGTCGTGGTCCTTGCAGGACGGGCATACATAATTGTACACAAAACTAAAGCATACATATGCATATACATACACAAATATACATACAACTATATATCCATATACATACACATATACACACACACATACATATATATATATACTATATATACACACATATATACATGAATATACACATATATAAATACATAAATACACATATATAAATACACATATGCGCACACACACACATATATATATATATATATATATATATATATATATATATATATATATATATACCCACCAATATATAAATGCCTATGCAAACATATTCAAAAAAAATTAACAAATTGTGATAGAATGCACATAAAAAAGGGTACAAAAAGTACATGTCACCCATCGTCACAAGTTCTACGGTGCGGGCAGAGAATTTCATTTTGAAATGGTCCGTGGAAAAAAGGAAAACTTATACGTGTCAGTGCTAGCTTAGATACGTTTTAATGCATCAGAGTGATGGTGCCGTGTTTGCCTTATGGAAAGAGGTCTTACATAAAGCGAAGAGTTGAGGGTGAATTTGTGGTCAATTAGATTATGTAAAAAATCCAAGCGGTACTTCTGTCTTCTTGATTCAAGTGAAGGAATCTCATTAGCCAACATTAGCTGTGACGGGGAGTCCGAACGCTCGTATTTAGAATAAATAAAACGAACCGACTTTCTTTGTATTCTGTCAAGTTTGTTGATATTGAGCTTAGTATACGGGTCCCATGCTACGCAGGCATATTCTAGTTTCGGGCGGATATAGGTTAGGTAGGTGAGTAACTTAACGTTTGAAGGAGAATTTCTATGTTTGTGTCGCAGGTAAG